CCTGAACTGCAGAGCAAGACCCTGTCTTAAACAGACAAAAAATAAACTGCAAGTCTGCGACATGTAATTTAAAATGAAAAATACAATGCATGCTACTTTGTATTTTGATACTTAAAGTGTCCTAGAAGAATGAGTGGTGGGGATATAGATCATCTGCCAAGGGCCTGCGTTTGATTCCTGCTACAAAAAAAAAAAAAAAAAAAAAAAAAGTTGAGAATGAATAGTATTAGATGTTGGGATCGTAGCTGTCTGTACCTTGGTTATCGATGACAAAGCCACTGCTTTTCATGAGTTTGGCAGAGCCCCGTGAGAAGTGTACACAGCTCAGGGAGCTGGTGCACATAGTGACCTGACCTTCGCTTGAGATCGTAGTTTTCTCATGTCCTCTTGAAGCCACCAGTTGTCCCCTAAAGCCCCCAAGGGGGGGCCGTTTCTGATTAGATATTCTTCCTGTCTCACAGCCTACACTCCCCTTAAACTCTCCATGAACTTACTCATATGCTGGTTGTATAAATAAACGTGGTACAAGTGCTGGCATATTCACTTTCTCCCACCAGGAGGAAGGGCACCACCTAACCTCAGCTTTTGTGTATTGATTCCTGTCTTTCTTCCCCACTGCCACCCCATGCTGTGCTGGCCTTCGAAATTTCAAGAGCTGCACTGGACCGGCAATTAAAACTTTCCTTGCTATTTAAAAGGATCCTGGCTTCAAGTGACTGAAACATTCTTCACAAGGTTTTGTATGACCACTTGCAGAGTGTAAGGTCTTTTTCTTTAGAGTCCAAAGATAAAAGTCTCTAATTTGAAATCCAAACCAACCTGCTGATCTGCCGGCAACGGGCTGAGTATTGCCACAAACCTTTAAGGGAGCATTTCACAGGAAGGGGTTGCAAATGGCAGGTTTTTAAAAAATTGTTTTATTTTTTGTTTCTTTGAGAGACAGTGTCCGTAGTTAGGGCTGGTCTTGAACTCAGTATGTGGCCCAGGCTGGCCTCAACCATCCTGCCATCCTCCAGCCTTCAGCCTCCCAAGTGCTGGGATTACATGCATGCGCTACCACACCAGCTCATTGACAGTTCTTGCTGTCTTGATGTTTTGCAGAGAGCCAAGGATGTGAACTTTCACAGCCAAAACTGTCAGAGTCCATGTTACATTCTTACGGTGGCTTTTCCTCCTTGACCAGCGATTCTTTCTATTGCCCTTGACTGGTGGTCTCCCTTTAGAGCTTTAACACCTGGAATTTCAAAAGACTCTAGAAAGAGTTTATCCAGCCTGAGGAGGGCAAGGGCATCCTCCACCTGAAGCCCGAGAATCAAGGCCTTTACAGAATCAGCTGCTTTTTCTAGAACACTGACATCCTTGGTTTCTTTACAAGTCCCTGATTTCTAGTTTTTGTTTTGTTTTGTTTTTCAGACAGTCTTGCTTTGTACTGAAGGCTGGTACGGAGAAATAATGTGCCCAGTTGATAAACGTTTTACTTGGAAAACAGTAGTTTGACGTGTGGTGATGATACCGAGAAGAAAAGTATTTGTGTAAGTAATTAAGGCTGATGTTTAAGTGGCGGGGTTCTCTTGTTTCAGCTTTCTAAGAGCTGACATTTCAGGTATAGGTCAACCATACCAATGGAGTAGGGAAAGAGTTTTGATGCTGTCGCTTCCGGCGTTCTCAAATCTTACCAGCAGAGGTATTGTGCATCTGCAGAGAAGCAAGACAAAATGACGGAAAGCAGCTTGCCTGCCTGCTCACCAGACCAACTCACCTGCAAAGCTCTAAAAGCGGACTGCTTTATTAAGTGCAGTTCATTAGTAGAGGTTTCACCTAACGTTGGTTAGGGACCGACTGTATTCTCAGCTCTTGGAGCAACAGAAACTTGCAACTGATTAGGTTTTCTTTCCTTTTTCTATAAGGTTGTTAGAGTTTTGTTGCATAGGGGCTCAGCTTTGCAGGTCTGCCTTGAAGATTTTGTTCAGTCATTGAGTGCACATACGTTACAACCACAGTTTTAGGAGGAAATGTCAAATAAGATATAATTTTTAATGTGTAATGTTTAGAATAAACATGATTTTCAACATTCGCTGTTTACCTACTTATAAAATCTAAAAAACAATAGGAATAAATTCCTAGGTGAAATATAAAAATACAAGACTCTACCACAGATACAGCCTTTGCCACAATTACCACATGAAAGGCAGTCTTCACACATGGCAACAGCATATTCCATGAACAAGTCTAGCTTACACTGACAGCTCATGTTTTGATTTCATATTTTGTTTTGGCAGGTCATACTTGTCAGGTCTTCCTATTTTGTTAGGTTCCTATTATACACTTCAGTTAGCAGGAAACAAATATCAATAAAACAAAATATTAAATATACCATCACTTTTTAAGAAAAACACATCCACTGTTTATTTGCTTACTAAATCTAAAAAATAAATTTCTATGTGTGGCTGGGCAAAGTGGTGCACACCTGTAATCCTAGCATTCAGGAGCCTGAGGCAGGGGGGTCACCATGAGTTTAAGGCCAGCCTGCACTACATAATGAGACTATGTCTCAAAAAAAAAAAAATTAGTGCATTAATATGATCCCTCAGTTGCAGCATACTGATCATGTCTGCAATCTCCCAAATGAGTGTATGACAAAAGCTTAAATAAGAGTCAAGTGATATGATTTTAGGGCTCCAGGGGGATCAAAACCCTCTCATAAAGTTTGAGATTCTCTGGGGGCTAACACAAAGAACTCTGGTGGCCCATATTTAGTTATCAAATAAAAGAGAGGAATACTGAAGAAAGGCAGAAATCTGAGCAGGACCATTCAAGGACCTTGGAAGTCCACTTAAGGACTTCTTGAAGTAATATGTTAATTTGGAGAACTATGTTCTCTCCAGGAAGGTCTCCACCCAGGAGTAAAATGTCTGCAGCTACAGCTTTTATCTAGTTAATTGACACTGGAGCCATGTGTCTTTAGCTGTGGCCTTATCTTGTCCTTTGAAGCCTCATGGCTTTACAAGCCACTACAGGCCTCAGCTGGGACCAGTGACTCACAGAAGTTCACTTGCTGTTATGGTTTGTATCTAGATATCCGCCCAAAGCCTCATATAGTCATGGGGCAGGCTTCTAGAGTTTGTGAATGATTCATGGTCCAGTGCTGGGATTGTGGGTGTGAGTGCTACACCCACTGTGGGGCAGGCCGCCTGCATATAAGTGAGGGAAAGAGGCTTGCTCCTTCCACTCCTCCGTTTTGTTCTTGTTGCTTTGGTTGTCTTCTGCCATGTGTGACTCTGCCTTGGAGCCAGCTGATTATAGACTAAAACCTCCACAAACTGTTAGTAAAATAAGCCTCTCCTTCCTTAATTCTGAGTGTCAGGTATTTTGTCTCAGAGAGAAAAGTAACTAAGACACTTACAATGAGTCTGCTGCCCATCTCCAGACAAGGAGCCTGGGCCTTGGACAGACCCACAAGTAAAGAAGGAAAGCCAATTGGTTAATTTAAATCCTGCTCAGAATTGCTTTGTAGTGGTTGCCATCAATTCTCCTTTTTGTTTTTATAATTGCAGCAGTTGAAATGTGGCTAGCATTGTCGGGTTTGGTGTCCCTTGTAACCGCAGACTAAGAACAGAAGTAAAAGACACAAGAATGTTAATATAATCAGTCCATTGTAAAATCCAAGATGGGTCTGGTGGCAGCAGACTTCACCACAGTTTTGAAGATCTCGATCTCTTCTGTATGGCTACATTTTTTTTTTTTTTTTTGTACCGGGAATCAAACTCAGGACCTTGCATTTGCCAGGCAGGCACTTATGCCACTAAGTTATATCCCCAGCCCATCTATGGCTATATGTTCTAGGATGGCATCCACAGTGATATTTTATGACTTGTTAATATACAAATATACCATCATCCCCAAGTTATTAACTGTACTGGGCCATCCTATTTATTTATTTGGATGTCTTTTTTTTTTTTTGCCAGTTATTCCTTGTAGCTCTTACAATAAATGCCAACCTAGGCCAGGCACAGTGGCACACACCTGTAATCCTAGCACTTGGGAGGCTGAAGCAGGAGGGCTGTGAGTCTGAGACCAGCCTGGGCTACAAACTGAGTTCAAGGCCAGCCTGAACTGCATAGCAAGACTCTGTTTCAAAAAAAAAAAAACAAAGAAAGAAAGGAAGGAAGGAAGACAGAAAGAAAAGAAAGAAAAAGAAAGAACAAAAGAACAAAAGAAAGAAAGAAAGAAAGAAAGAAAGAAAGAAAGAAAGAAAGAAAGAAAGAAAGAAAATGTTATTAGGTTCCTGCCAGCAATGAATCCTTTTGGATGGAATGCCAACACTTCAATTCAATGCTGGAAATTGTTTGTAATGAACAATATACTACAAGATGTTTTGAAATACCCCAATAATAAAATACAAGTAAAACATTCTTATGCACTAATAGAAAAACTCAAAAATATACTTATCATTACACTTCACTATCTGAACTAAAAGCTTTGATAGCAAGACTTTATCATTCTAATCATCATAATCTAAAGGATTTACAGAACAGTGATGAGGTAATTTTGAAATTTTTAGAACAATAAGGACACTCAAGAGATTTGGTTTCCATCAAAATTGCCTATTTTTCGATAACAAAATGACCTACTACAAAAGAAAAAACTCTATCTGGCTGCTAATCACTCATTTTTTGAAGGCTTTGTTTTGAATTTTCAATTTATACACCATCCAAATACATGACACCTGACGAACAATTTGAATCCTTTCATGGTTACTGAAGTTTATATGCCAAATAAACCTTCCAAATATGGTATAAAAATATAGGCCCTGGTAGATGTGTAGACATTTTATGCCTTGAATTAAGAAAGCTGTCCTGGCCGGGAGTGGTGGCACACACCCGTAATCCTAGCATTTGGGAGGCTAAGGCAGGAGGATCGTGAGTTCAAGACCAGAGTGGGCTATAAAGTGAGTTTAAGACTATCCTAAACTGCATAGTGAGATCCTGTCTCAAAAGGACAAATATATATATATATATATATACATATAATTGTGATATGTTTACATCGGTCATTGTCAAAAGGTTAAGTTTTCAAAAAATAAGACAAGGTTTCTGATTAAAACATTCTCTGGGTACAAAACTAAATTAAGAAACAAAATAATGACAATTTGTTACTGCTAATCTCATGGTGTGTTAAATGTATTCATGCCTTCCAAATGTATAGTCTTCTAAAATGTAAAACTGGGATTGTTTATAATGATAGACATTCTTTCAGATTCATACATCTGCTTTTCTCTTCTGCTCCAGATATTTGTAATAACAGGTTCATGTCAAGCCAACATGAGGTCATCTGTCAAATGATAATTTTTAAGAAAAACATGTGATGTATATGCTATGTATGTGCCACACAATTAGAGATCCTTAGATACTGAACAGCCCAGACAACATTACAAATTTCTTCAATTATGTACTATTAAAGGACAACTAATTAGGTGAAAACTTCTTATGTATTAGATAGGGGTGATTGATTAAAAAGTCTATCATTTCCAAGATGAAGATTTAATTGTGCTACAAAAATGTGATCATGACTGTTACACTACACAACTATGTATGGCTTTTGATTTTAAATTTTCTCTGTAAAACTATATAACTCTTGTCTGTTAACATTCTACAGGGATTCAAATGCTAGAACATTCATGATCGCTTCTTGGCCTTTTGGCTAAGATCAAGTGTAGAACATCCATGGTTGGTAAGAAATAACAGGTCTCTGGCTATACTTTATATTTCAAGGTGCCTAATACTCAGCTAAAATTTAATTATTAAGTTCACTGCTCCCACTACAATGTAATGTCTTTAACCTTCTCTTCTGGATGTTCAACAGCCAAGGTTTGGAGATTGAAAATTAAAAACATAGATGAGCTAAAGGGATAGCCAATATTTTGACCCTAGCCTTCTGAGGTCAATGATGATGCAGGACATAAGAGAACCTCTGCTGTATCATCCTGTAACTAGGTTAAGTCTCTGATCTTCTGATCAAGTGACTGTGGGACCACAGAGGAAAGTGATTCTACAGTGTACAGTGTACCTAAGGGAGTCACCAGGAGAGAAAAGTCTCCGAAGCTTTCACAGAAAGCAACTTGGTCAAGCAATGGCCGTGACTCATCCAGACAGCTAACACTGACAGTAGAACTGAGGGGCACTGTATAAGGTTCCAAGGTAAATCCTGAGGAGATTTAGTTGACCTTGATAGATAGCAAGAAGTTAATTTTAATTAATATAGGTTTCACTTTAACTTGGTCATGGTATAACGAGAAAATGTATAAGACAATGCCATAGTAATACAAATTTCTCCAAAAATTGGTTTATTCTTTCCTAGAGGCTGCCAAACTCCAAGTGACCATACAGATAAAACCAAAAATAAATATGCTAGTTTCCTTCTACCAAGATCCACCAAGTCCACCTCATAAAGAGAGTTCATAACTGGTAAACTATAACAGGACTTCTGAGGCCATTAGATTTAGCTCTCTGGAGGGAGGGGGTCCCTGACTGCAGTCTTTCTTTACATCAACCCTTCTCAGCTTGAAGCTGTTAAGATGAAAATTATGCCCAGTCTTCCCTAACCATAGTTAGGGATAGCTGTTCAGAGGGAAAATATTATAGATAGCTAAGTTAGTTACAAGTATTATAGGCAATTAGACTGCAGCTGCAGTCTCCTTTTAGTTAATTGGGGTTGGAGCCAAATGTCCTCAGCTGTGGCCTTATCTTGTCCTTTGAGGCATCACAGCTTCACAGAACAATATAGGCCTCAGTGGTAACCAGTGACTCATAGAGGTTCACTTACTATGAGTCCACTGCTTATCTCCAGACAAGGGATGTAGGCCTTGGACAACTTACAAGTAAACATGGAAAGCCAACTGGTTAATATTAAATCCTGCTCAGAGCCACTTCATAGTGCTCTCCATCAATTCCTCCTTTTTGTTTTTGTAATAGTAGTTGAATCAGGGTAGGTCATAGTTGTATGGTGTCTACCAGTTGGCCCATCCTGGCTTCTCTTCAGCAGACTATGAATAGAATAAAGAGAAACACAAAGATTACTCCAAATGGACTAACATAAAGCCAAAAGTGTGTCTTCAAATAGTTGAATAGATTTAATTGGTTTAAAGTATCAGAAAATTTGTCCCAACCTTGAATTTTTTTGTCAAATTTTTGGGTTTGCCAGGACATTGACAATACCTCCTTCTGGAGGGCATTGATATAGTAATATTTTGATGGATAGTAATATTTTGATGGATAGCTCCTTGTACATGTTTTTATATCCTCCCAAGGATGCACAGATTTGTTGTAAGGCAAGGGAGTAATGCAGAAATGAGTGGCCTTATAATGGCATTTCAATCCTTGTAAGAGTTATAGACTGTCTATTTGGTTGCCCATCCATACACAGAAGTTTCCAGCATGCTAAGCTGTACTTGTAATTTAGCATCTGTGTTACACTGGATTTTCCATGCTTCATCAGTAGTCTTTGTCCAGTTATTTATAAAATGAGTTGTTTGTACAGGATACATGATGGCCATGGAAGGAGCTGCCACACTGAAAATTAGGAGAACCAGAGAGACAATTCCTGCAATAATCAAATGAACATTCTCTTTGTCCTTTGGGTCAGATGTGTTTCACTAATATATGTAGCAAGTGTGACACAGGAGAATAGGACCATGTTTCAATGAGATTAACAGGGGTTCAAACTCCTGGCATGTGACCCATTATTAATAACATCTGTCCATAAACAAAACCTGGTTTAACACAGTGACTCAAGGTATAATTTGAGCATTTAAAAGAACTGGCATTCCAAGATATGGTGCCATATAGGAATACATATGGATTATCAATGCAAATGGAAGTTTGGACAGTCTTGTAATGTTTTAACTGAAGAACTTCCTTATTATTGGATTTTATGTTTTTGCCAGTCCATATACTTCCTTTTTTAAAAGGTAGGATCAGCTTCCAAAAAGATAGTTGTATTGGTCTTATGTGTCCACAACAGATTAAGTGTGGCATAGGGGTACTAAACCCTGAGGCAGTCCAATTTATAAGTTGTATGGGTAGAGATTGTTTGGTAGTGTTATCTTGATATGTCCAATTTGGAATTTGCTGTGGGCCTATATTTTTTACCTTGCCAATAATTTCTCCCGGTGGGTTCTAACCAATAAACTCATATTATCCTATTTTTCCTTTAATTCCTGCCTCAGCCTGACAGGCCACCTAAGGCCAAATAGCATCTTCATGTATTTCAAAAGAGTAACTATAGAGCAAATAGATATCTTTGGTTTCCATGAATCTGTTATATTTCCTAAGGTAGGTGGATCCTTAGGTAATAATAACCACTTGCTCCAAAGTGTGTCCCACCCAAGTTTGAGGGCAAGTGGCATAGCAGTACTTTGAATGAACTTTAACATCTTCAACACAATGGTGGAAAAGCGAAATATAAAATATAATTAATAGTTGCCTTGTCTGGCATATAAATAGGGATGACTGGGCCTGGAATGATGTCTAACTTAGGGCCAGTCATATCTGGTTCATGATAAATCTCAGGTGGAGGATCTGCTCAAGTAAATGAGTCCAATCAATGGTGGATTAGGGACATAAGCCCAATACTCCACTCCTGAAACAGATGTTATACATACAAATACTGCCAGCAGAGCCATTAAGACAACCAAAAGATTCTCAGGGGTTGGTAGAACTCCATTTCTGCTGACTGTCTCTAGCCTCATGGATTGTCACTTGTATGTTATTCCACTGGATCATTCGTCCTCTTTCCTGTTCTTGCAGGAGAGCTGGAGGTGGATTTTCTGGCTGATTGGCAGGTCCCTGGGGGCAAGTCTTGTTGGACAGGCTCATCCTCTGGAGGGCTCGGATTGGTGGAGTCATCACACGGGACTGTCTTCATTGTCAGTTGTATCTCCTGCCAAGGTTGTACATTCCTGGACAGCAGCCACCTCATGGATCCATCACCTGTTAAGACACAAGGGTAACCTCATCTCCACGTTATTAGCTGAACCGGTCCTTCCCATTTTCCTGTGTTGATGTCTTTCCAAAGCACTCAAGCCCTATGCTGAGCATCATCATAGGATGCTGACCAATGAAGTTCTGCAGGGGTCAATTTATTGTCTGCAGCTGGGTTTAAAATATTTACAGTAAAAATGGCTAAATCTAGTTGTGCTTGTGGGGATAACTGTATGCCTTCTTTTTGCTTTTGTAATTGAGTTTTAAGAGATAGATGCATTCTTTCTACAATTACTTGCCCTTGAGGGATTCCTGTAATGTGTTTAATGTGCCGTAGCTGAAAGAAGGATTATTAAAGGTTTACTAATATATGAAGGCCCATTGTCAGTCTTTATGGTGTGTGGAACATCCACAGAAGCAAATGTTGACAAGCAGTGTTGTTGCACATGGCCAAGTTTTTCTCCTGTGTGGCAAGCTGCATGCATTAAATGAGAATACATATCAATAGATACATGATATATTGCCAAAAGAAGAGAAATGTGTAACATCTGTTTGCCAAATATCATTATGTTTTAAGCCTCTGGGGTTACTACCCTCTTATGGCACAGGCCTAGGAGCCTTTAGACAAATAGGACAGGACATAACAATTTGTCTTACTTGAGACCTGGATAATGGAAATTCTTTGGTTAAAGCCTTACTACTTTGATAATGGTATGAGTGAGATTGTCTAGCTGCATCAAATGGAGTAGTAAAAGCAATTAACAAATCAACTTGTTGATTCCCATATGTTAAAAATGCAGGTAACTTAGAATGAGACTTTATGTGGCCAGTATAAAAGGGTGTTGTTCGTTTATGAATTGCCTTTTGTAGCATGAGAAACAAATTAAATAGAGGCAGATCTAAAGTTGACTTGTAGGGTGGTGCTCTCAAGCCTCTGAGTAAGGTGGACTGCATAGACTGAATCACTAATTATGTTCATAGGTTTAGAGTTAAATTGTTGTATGACAAAATAGCAGTAATTTCTGACCTTTGTGCAGAAAGTCCTGGAGTCTCTATTACCTGTTGATAATCCTGACTGAAAATTGCTGCCTATCCCTTGGATGAGCCATCAGTAAAATAAACTACTGCATCAGAAATAGGTCCAAATTTAGTGATTTTTGGACTAATACATGAATGCTTCAGAAAATTGAAAGATAGGATCACTGGGACAATGGCTATCAATTTGTCCTATAAAATCTGCAAATGCTACTTGCCAAGATAGAGCTTGTTGTAACAGAGTCAAATAGTGATTTAAATCAATAGGCAATACAATTGTAGCAGGATCAGTACCAAGGAGTTGTTTGGATCTTGTCCTTCCCATAGTGACAACCTTGGCAATTAGTTCTAAATATAATTGTAAGGCTTTCATTAACTGTTTAGAAAGGTAAAGCCATTTGATAGGATAAATTTGTTTATCATAAAATCGTCCCATAAGACCTGTGGGAGAGTGAGGAGTATTTAAAATGTAAAGGATAAGAGGATAATTTGTATTTATTCTAAAAACTTGATGCTGATATAACATTTTTTCAACCAAAGTTAGTTTCTTTTGAGCCTCAGTAGATAAACTATGACGGGAATCAAAAGCCAGGTCTCCCTGTGGACTATTATATAAATGTTTTAATTGATAGGTAGCAATACCCAGTTTTGGCCTTATCCAATTTATGTCTCCTAATAACTTTTGACCATGATTCAACATTTTTAAATCATCTTGATGAATCTATAGATTTTGTGGCCTGATTGCCCTGTTAGTCACTAGCATTCCCAGGTAATAAAAAGGATTGCACAATTGTACTTTGTCCAGAGCAAGCAGGGGCCAAAGGATATTAAATCTCATTTTTTCTCTGCAAAGAGGTCATACAGTTGTTTTTTAATTGGGAGCTGCCAGTAAGATATCATCCATGTAATAAATTATATGTGCAGAAAGATAGGCTTGCCTCACTCTGTGTAAGGCCGGTGGTACAAAGAACTGGTACAAAGTCAGACTATTTCACATTCCTTGAGGTTATGTGACCCATTAATATAGTTGCATTGGCTCTTTAAAATTTAAACGAGGTACAGAAGAGGCAAAATGCAGCCTATCTGTGGGATAAAGAGTAATGTTAAAAAAGCAGTCTTTGAAATCAATTATGATGAGACACCAGTCTCTGGGAACTGCAGTTGGGTTTGGCAATGCTAGCTGTAGTGCCCCATATAGGAATTAAGCAAGCATTCAAAGCTCTTAAGTCATGCAATAACCTCCATTTGCCTGATTTCTTTGGAATAACAAAGACAGGAGTATTCCAAGGACTAACTGAGTTTTCTAAATGTCCTAGCTGTAATCACTCCTCAACTAATTTGTGTAATTGGATTAGTTTTTCCCTGCTAAGGGCCACTGGTCTACCCAAACAGGCACCTCAGTTTTCCATTATAAAGGCAGAGCTGTTTTGGAGGGTTAAGTATCAATGGCTCTTGTTAAAAAACCTGTTGATATCCAATACCATGCCTGTCATTTTTAGGTGTAATTCTTTTTTTTTTTTTTGTCTTTTTGAGACAGGGTCTCGCTGTGCAGTTCAGGCTGGCCTTGAGCTCACTTTGTAGCCCAGGCTGGTCTCAAACTCACAATGATGCTCTTGCCTCAGCCTCCCGAATGCTGGGATTACAGGTGTGCGCCACCACACCCAGTTTAGGTATAGTTCTTATAGGCTCTTTGATTCCCTGCAGGTTTTTTTCTAGCCCTTTGTCTTCTTGACATCCCATGTTAATCATCATTTATCTAATTTTAGGATTTGAATCTATTTGTTTAATTTTAGAATTAGACTTTGTTTAAAGTTAAGATCAGAATCACTAGTCAACATTAATTTCCACTTTTGCAACAAATCTCTTTCCCACAAATTGACCAGAATAGGTGTCACATATGGTAAAAAGAAACCCTCTCGTTGGTCTGTCCCCTCATAAGACAAGGGTGACACACTTTGTAGTACATGCTGAGAGGATCCCAGTCCTATTAAGGACGTAGAAGCCCTTTGTGTTGGCCACATGGTAGGCCATTGTTATAATGGGAGTACAGACATGTCTGCACCAGTATCTATTAAGCCTTCAAAACATTTTCTATTAATCTTTACAAAACACATAGGCCTATTTTTAGTCATTTCCTGTGTAAAATAAATTTCTCTCTTTGTAGTCATTCTGAGGTTGTTGCTCCCTCCTGACCTATCTATATTTAACAAAAGAAAGTTTATCTATAGGTAACAAAATCAACTGCACCACATATTCTTCCTGCTCAAAAACCCAGAGATCCATAGCACATGCAAAAACTTGTATTTTGGTTTGAGAATCACCATCAGTCACACTAGGTACAATAGTTATTCCTTTTAAACTTAGATCAGCCTTTCCCAGTACAAGACCAACTGTTCTCTCAGGTGGAGGACACCAAACTCCTATGGGAATTGGGGTAGGTTTTTCACCCGCAACAAGAATAACTTTGCAAGCCACAGGATGATCTAATCCTGTACTTTGTATTGTTCCCCTGATGAGTGAATTTACATCTCTCCAGGGAGCCACCTTTGAGATTGTTGTTGAATCTGTTGATGTGTTTGCACTGGATAAGGCTGACTGACATTCTGATTCACAGATTGTATTCCCTCTATTTTTGGCCAGCCTGAGGAAAAGCCCTCAAATTGTTTCTTGGCCAAGGTCTACCGTCCTTATGGAATTTAGAATGACAATGTTTGGCCCAATGTCTCCCTTTTTGGCATCTTGGACAGGGTCCAGGCATGGGATCCAAACCTTCCATGCCAGAGGCATTTTTTCTTTGAATTGCTGCAGCTGCAGCAACTGTCCCATTAGATCCAGCAAGAACTCTACAGTTTTTTCCTAATATATCCCATTTGTCCACAGTTAAAGCATTTTATATTACCGCCTTTAGTATTAGCAAAACCAGCCATAACCTGAGTCATCATAATTGTTTTACACAATTCAGTTCTGTGTTGGTTTGGGGCTTATTTTGCAAGGGGAACAATATAATATAGGACACATGTTCTATATTATTTATAATAGTCACCCAAAGAATGATATACAAGAGTGCAGGAAATCTGTCCACACACTAAGACCAAGGAATCTACCCAAGGCCCTGGATCCCACGGAAATGTCTTACTTGAGTTCGGCTGAAGACCTACAGCTCATTACAATGCCTCACATGAGTCCAACTGGAGGCCTACAGCCCATAACAATATCTCATGCAGGATCTGTGCTGGGAAGGCCCAAAGGTCAGTGGTGGAATCTAGTAAGTCTGTGCCAGTGGGATGAAGGATCTGTGCTAGCAGGCTGAAAGATCTATACTGGAGCCAGAAAATCACATGCAAAGTAAGAACCAGAGCTCTCCTGAAAAGTACCATAGCCATTCTCAACAACAGTGAGGTCCTGAGCTCCTCTGATGGTCAGGACTGCTGACCGTCAGGAAAGCCAATGCAACAAGCTTCTCCAGGAGACTTTGTAGTGGACCATCTTCCCCTCTAGAGCCAGGAAGTGATGCTTAGAGTGAAGACCAGAGCTTTGCCAAAGTGAACCAAAGCCATTCTCAGTGCCAACAAGGTCCTGAGCTCCTTGGAGGATGAAAACAGCCAAGTTTATCAGGAAAGCCTGCATGACAAACTCCTCCAAGAAGACCAACAGCTCCTTACAGCTTCACTCTGCTTCCAGCAGGCTCCCAATAGCTTCTACTAGCTCCCAACAGCCCAACTTCTCCAGTTTTGCCTCTTATGCTGCTGGTAATAATCCTCAGGCGGACCTCCCACATCTAGCACCATGCTTAATCAGTTCAGCTGGGGGTTATAAGTTGACCACCAGTTGTCAATCCACTACAAGTTCCAGTATCCTGAAAAGCTTATATGTTGTCAAATTATTGGTTGATTTTACAGGATTTAAAGCTTATTTGCAGTCTCAATTAGCACTCAAATATGCTAGTTGTAGAATTAAAATGTCTGCAGCTTGTGTGCTTGAAACCTGTCTGCAAACAAATTGAGTATAGAGTTCTTTAGGGCCTTGAAGGACGTGTAAAAAGGACTGCACAGGAGTTCCATCCTCTAGAATACTTGCCCATACTCTTTTTAGTAAATCTTCCAAATGAGTTCCAACTCAGATGCAAGCAGGGGTACCAGTGAATTCCCCTTTTGCAGCTGTTTGTCCCTTAAAAT